TCTTGGTCTTGACTTTCCAAGTAAGTCACCTGGGGACAAAGCTACTTGATTCAAAAGGGTTGAGGGTAATTAGACTGCTTTAAAAACTATTTTAAAGTCTTAGACTGATGATAATGAAACCAGGCTGTTTCCCTAAGAAAGGTAATGCTCCTTATGCAAACTTAGACCTATCTAACCTTCGCTACTGCAAAGGTTAGATAAGTAAATCAAACAACTTTTCAGCAACTTCACAACTCTTCATACCTGGAGATTTAGTCACTGGTCAAAAGTAAAGTCAACAGAAAAGATTGAAGATGACTCCAAGCAAAGCCTCCAACATGATAGCAGGCACTACTTGAAGAAAATTAAGTATTGTCATATTCACATTTTTGATTGTATTATTACATCACTTTATGAAATAAGGATATTTTGTCATTTCTTCTGAGACCAATCACTGGAATGCAGCACACATTCAAATATTTATTGTTGAATAAATGAATGGCAGTAAGACTACTGACATTAAAGAGAGGTGTGAATGGGTACAGGGACTTGAAGGGGCTAGTGCTGTATCTCACTACAGATAGAGAGGATATGGCTTTTTAATTTTCTTGTGATTCCACAACTTGTGTCCAACTTTACTTCCTTATTTCCTTTCTGCAGCAACTTTAACTGCAAATAGTTCTTTACTGGTTCAGGATTGCAAAGAAACACTGATGATAATATATGTCACTGAAGCCATAAGAACATTGGCTCTGGAGCTAGGTGGACTGGGTTCTTGATCCTGGCTCCTCTTCATTATTTACTGACTAGCAACAGAGAATTTACCATTTGTAAAATAGAAACAATAATAGTATCCACCTTGTAGAAGTGCTGTAAAGACCAACTGAAACAGTATCTGTCAAGTACTTAAGCTCCTAATAAGAGCCTGACAGATATCAACTATTATTTTATTCTTATTAAAAGAAGTTACAAGTTCCAAAAATGTCAATGTCACACAAAACAAAGGTTGAGAATACATCCCAGATTAAAAAAAAAAACACTTGATAACTGAGTGTAACAGTTGATCCTGAGTGCAACAGTTGATGCTATACTGAAGCAAAAATGCTATAAAGGACAGTATCAGTCAGTCAATACCTCTGTTAACAATATTTGAATCTATTGTCTGTTGTCCAATGTTAAATATACCAGAGTCGAAATGTATTGTGCTTTTGTATTTAGGAATAAAGGGCCATGACACACACAACTTTTCCTCAAGTGATTCAAATGAAAGATAAAGAGAAAAAATAATAAAGCACATAGAGCAAAATGTGAATAGGTGAATCTGAGTAAAAGGTAGACAGCAGGGCATTCTTTGTACTATTCTCACAACTTTATTTGTAAGTTTGAAAGTATTTCCAAATAAAAGGTTAAAAGAGAAGATGATGGGTTGAACTGAAACTTCAAGATTCAAATTCAGAACAATCCAGCCTCTTGCAGTTTTGAAATTCTGATTGTGCCCACCACTGTGATAGCTTAAATATCATTCTATTACAAGAACTCTTCTAGACAGTGAAATTTGTCCTGATGTCCTTTTTGAACAGTACCTAGAAAATAAAACAGAAAATAGGCCAGAGCCCTCCAGAAGAGGCAAAATAGAGAATCCTTTTTAAGAGTTCATCCTGGCCGGACGTGGTGGTTCATGCCTGTAATTCCAGCACTTTGGGAGGCCAAGGTGGATGGAGCACGAGGTCAGGAGTTCGAGATCAGCCTGGCCAACATAGTGAAACCCTGTCTCTATTAAAAATACAAAAAAATTACCCGAGTGTGGTGGCACGCACCTGCAGTCCCAGCTACTCGGGAGGCTGAGGCGGGAAAATCTCTTAAGCCCAGGAGGTGGAGGTTGCAGCGAGCTGATATAGTGCCATTGTACTCCAACCTGGTGACAGAGTGAGACTCCATCTCAAAAAAGAAAACAAAAGAGTTCATCGCTACATGGCTTCCCTTTTCCTAAGTCTCTGGGCCATGGTTTACAACCCTCTGGATCTTAACTCTGCCCACCTCATTCTGTAGTGCTCTCCCGCTAACCCTTCATGATCCAGATGCCACAGCTTTCTTTGGGTTCCTCAGACATGCCAAACTTCCTATTTTGGAGCACTCACATCTGCTATTCTCTCCCCCTGGAATGTTCCTCTCCTTGATTTCCCTGTGGTTGGCTCCCTGTTGTCATTCAGATTTGAAATTTAATGTCACCACTCTGAGGTGACCTTCCCTGATAGCTACACTCACTGCATTTAAGTGAGCCAGCTAGATCTTAGAACACTGGCTGTGATAGAGCAGGAGCTCAATGAATATAGCTGCATGAACTAATTATGCCACACTCCTATTCATAAGACACCTTGAGTTTTCCTTTTCTGCCTCATTGGCATTACTCATATTCCCATTATGTAGTCACTCACCGTACTACATTTGTGGTGTGCATATCTGTCTCCCACTAGATTTTAAGCTGCTGGTGGACGTCATGACTCTCCTCTCGGATTCCTAATGCCTACCTCAATGCTTTTCCAAGGCACGAAAAATTCAAACTAGCAAAGACTTACAGTTCCAGGAGCTTAAAGAAACTCACTTGTAGCAAATAATAACAATTAGAGCTAACAGTCACCGACTGCTTATTACTACCTCAATAATAAGCACTCTAACTGCTCTATACATTTTTTATGTATTTTATCTCCTTGAATCCTCATTATAACCTTGTTAGCTAAGGTCTCATTATCATCCCCATTTTATAAGATCCTGAGGCTCAGAGAGGTTGCTCAGAGAGGTTCACGTCAGTATAGAGGCACAAATCAAATCCGGGCAGTGGATCCCTAAAACCCACGCTCTCTACCAGTCCAGGATTGCTGGAGAAAATTTGGTGTGCTGCTCATTCTTTCTAATCCCACTCTACCAAACTGATCTACCCATCACCATGTGGACACTTGCACATGTGGTAGCAAGCTGATCTTATCCTGGTATGACTGTTCAAGTGCTATTCTGTGAAGGGCATCACTGAAGGAGCACATCACCCAAAATAATTCTCTACCACCCCACTACAGTGACAGAAAATCCTCTAGCAGGGAGCCATTCTTTGTGCACTGCAAAATCCCTAGTTAAAACCCATGTATTAGCAAAAGCGTTAACTGCTTACAGCGAGTACAAGTCATAAAGATTTTGGAGTGAAATATTCAGATTACACAGCAGGGCCTTGAGGAATGGAACCCATCCAGTTAAGGCTAGCTCATGTGAAAAAAGAAATTTCAAGAAACATCTAGTGAGTACCATCCTTTAAGACCAGATCAAGGTCAGATGCAAGGACAAGCCTTCACATTTGTGTAGTAAAGAGAAGGGAGTCAGAGGACTAAGTCTGGGCTCTAAAGAAAAAAAACGCAGACGATGTGAAAAACTTCCATCTTCTGCAAAACGCTGCTTTAGAATCAGTCTCAAATAGCAGTGCTAAAGTTATTCATCCACAGCAAAGCGAAAACCATAGAGCAGAGGGATAGGGGCCTATACCATTCATCTAGACAATGCTGGTCTTCATTACATTAGAACCGACAAAGAGCTAGATAAAAGCCAACAAGCCAGTCACTTGTCTACAAAGCAGATGTTCACGTTACACATGGCATTACAGCATCAGGGAGAAGGATTCCTAGGCACTTTTCACATTTGAAAGCACTCCTCCCACACTTGCTGGTCTGTTTTAATACCTGTGCTTCCCCCTCTGGGGCCCTCAACCTCTCACAAAATGGCATTGAAGCTGCTTCCACACATGACTGGGTATCTTCAGCCCTGGGCCTCTTCAAATCAGGCAACTTCCAGTGGCTGTCAGGGTGATGGATGAAATCCCTAGAGAAGAGAGGAAAATGACCACGGCAGGGAGCCTCCTCAAGTGGGAATCACTGTGAAAAACTCATTATCCATGGCAGGTAAGAAGAGCAAGGTCCCTGATTGGGCTGGTGACCACGGGTGCTGAGATTCCCACTGGGGACAAGGACAACTTGTTCAGTTTCTTCACAGTTAAGATGTAAGGACAACCATCTAAGATTTCCCAAACTTCAGTCATTTGAGTACCACTTTTCATGACTATTTCTACATCTCCCTCCTTGACCTATACTAGAATTTAGTAACCACGTCTCTTTATCTCGACTAGATTTTTGCATTTAAATACATTTATTTTAAAATGAAACTCTATCATTGTGAAATTGCTTACATAATGGAACAGGTTTTCTTAATAGCGACGAAAACAAGTAACTATGTTCATCCACGTACCACCTCAAATCATTGCTATTACCCCCAGTGATGCCACCTACAGTCGCAGCTTTGGGACACACAAGCCACCCCTGAGGGTTCAGGGATCCTGCCCACACCCCATCGGCATTTCTCCACCTCTTCCCCTTAACCGAAGGTCCCAGCAAGGGGACGGAACAGGAGTCTTCACGCCCTTGCCCACGTCCTCTGGCCGCCCCTCCCCTCCCAGCAGCACCACGTTTCCTGTCAAAACAAACCCTTGGAGGAGGGGATGGCGGAGGCAAAGCCGAGTGCCGGGGAAACCACGGCAACGAATCCCCAACACACGCTGCGGGTCCCGCTCGGCCTCCACCCTGGCTCAGTTCTCCACTCCAGCCTGGCCGAGGGGTGCGGGGGAAGGGAGCGCCCCGGACCCCTCATGGTGGAAAGTCGCTGGCACCCGTCCAGCAGGATTTAAACAGCGGTGAAGCGGCCTCCAGGGCGCGAAGTCCGTGTCCAAACCGACACCCGCGGCGGCCACTCGGTGCCCCTCTCCCTGCTTCCACGCGGGACGGCAGTTCGAGGTCAAAAAAGGGGACACGGAGTGGGGAGACAAGAACTGGGAGCCAAGCTTGATGGCCCCTGGCCCCGCCGTCTCAGGATGGAGTTCTGAGATAGGGCAGGGGAGCCCTCGGGCTGCCCGGCGCAGCACTGTCCCCTCCGCTGGCCCCGGCTGGTCCCCTCCGAGCCGGCGACGCCTCCCCTTGATGGATACGCACCGAGTCCCGCACGCAGACAAGAAGAGGACAGCGACGGAGTGACCCCGGGTCAGGACTCTGGGCGTCCCCTCGCCGAGCACAGCACAATCACCTCGAAAACTCACAAACCCAGCAACCCCCAGCTCCTGCTTCCCCCCGACCCGACGCGGTATTTAAAGGGCCCTGAGGGAACTCTAGAGAGGCCGCCACGGCGCGGCCATCACAAAACCGGCGAGCGGGGGGGACAACGGCGAGACGGGGCGAGGGGATCCAGGGCCCTTCAGGCTCCGATAGCCGAGTTCTTACAGATTGAACCTACTAAAGAAAAAGTCTCCGTCGTGTTTGGACCAGAGAGGCCGAGGACAGCTCGGATGGGAGGTGTTTCGGATGCGAGAGGTTATGGTACCCCCGCGCGGCGAGTGGTGCGGTCCGGGCTGCCGGAGGCGGGGAGAGAAGTGTTTACGGAACTGAGGCCGCCCCACCGACCGGAGCCCCGCGCGTTGGGGGCGGGACCTACCGGGGCACGGGGGCGGGGCCGAGGGGGGCGTTGGGGTGAGGGGGCCGGACAGGGCGAAGCAGCAGGTGGATCCTCTAGCGGAGCGCGGGACAGATCCCCTGGGCTCCTGGGAGCATTGGCGTGGACCACGCTGCGAGCTCCCCGCCGCGCATGGAACATTGAATGCCTGCACACCCTTGTATAGACGGGGCAATCCAAACCGGGTGCGAACCACCACACTGTCCACACAGAGACTACCCAACCAACAACGCTGCTGGTGGGCTTTCCCACGCACGTCAGCGACTAACCGCGTCATCTCCAGTTTTGTCTACAACTCCACATAAACACGGGTCCAGATTTGCACCTGCTCGCGACGATTAGCCCCTGGGAGTCACACCCATCCAGGCCCTCTGAAGACTTGGTGTGCGTGCAAAAGATAAAGCATCTTACTTCCCCTAGAGTTCTTGGCAGCACCTATCTCCGGAGAAGTTTCGACGTTGGTTAATGTAAATAACCAGTCCCAGGAGGGCTTCTGTGCCGTCAGGCCTGCTGCTCAGCTCCTGTTGTGGGCGTGCTTGACGGTGTAGAGAAACAAGCTTCTCCTAACTGCTCACATCAAAACCATGCCTTCTGCCAGGTGTAAATCCGTGCTGTATTACTTGGGAAATAATTTCATGCAGGAACGACTTACTAGAAGTTTGTATAAAGTATTTCTGTTTAGTGCCTAAGTTATGTCTGGATTGTGGAGGCAAATTGGCCACCACCATTGAAAGACAACAACAAAAACAATAACAATAAACAACAGGCAACATTTAAGCAGGGTAGAAAGTCAGTTGGTCAGTGGTTACAACATAGACTCCTTTATGGAAATCCTGGCTCTGACATTCATTACCCGTGACATCTTGGTCTCTGGGGATAACGATAGCTATTTTATTGGGTTATCGTGAAGATAAAGTAAAATAAAGCATGTGAAGTATGTGACGGTGTACCCAGTAAGCACTCAGTAAGTGTTAGTTATTGAAGCTATTTGGCAAACCACTGTGGCCAAACTTAGCTGTGATCTGCATGAATTTGTATCTGTGCCTCCTTTTGCCTCTTTCCTCTCTTCTAAAATATACAACCCAATACAGCTTAAGAGATTAAATAGAAGTGCTGTCCCCGCCTGAGTTCTTCCCTACAAACATGCCCTTATTTGTGTCATTTGTTGGATATGTAATCAGAATGACAGAAGCCTCCAATTTCAATTCTTGCCAAATGACAACCACCACACAACTGTCATCACCACCCTAAAAACTCCACAATAGAAAGATGAACCCCCAAATCCCCCAAACTTCTGGTAACTCTGTGACAGTGACACATGGCAGCATTACTTCCTTTGTCACTTTGTAAGGATGTGTTATTGTTTTGTGCTGTGACATAAGTTGGAGCAGGTGACCATGAGTCAGGGTAGTAGTTGTTCCTTATACCTGAGTGACCAGGTGCCTGACCCTAGGCATGACACGTCTTTTAAAGTTCAGATATGTAACTCTCAAAGCCACCAGGAAGCAACTTTTGTCAAAGCAAGTTTCAACATGGGCTGGGGTACAAACCTTGATGTGGAAGGGGTGGGGGTAACATCAGAGACCCAAGCTGAGATAAAAGAAGATGCTGGAAATACTATCTTCTGTTACTTTAATGTTAAATAACTTGGTATCTGAAAACCTTTTGGTGAATTACCTGATCAACTTCCCTTAGCCAGACTTGTGTATAAAAACACTTTGAAAACATAGAGTACTGGGCTGGGCACAGTGGCTCACGCCTGTAATCCCAGTACTTTGGGAGGCCGAGGTGGGCGGATCACCTAAGGTCAGGAGTTCAAGACCAGCCTGACCAAAATGGTGAAACCCTGTCTCTACTGAAAATACAAAATTAGCTGGGACTGGTGGCATGCTCCTGTAACCCCAGCTACACAGGAGACTGAGGCAAGAGAATGACTTGAACCCGGGATGCGGAGGTTACGGCGAGCCGAGATTGTGCCACTGCACTCCAGCCTAGGCAAAAGGAGTGAAACTCCATCTCAAAAAAAAAAAAAAAAAAAAAGTGCTGTAAAATATAAGGTAGTTCCCTCAAAAATGAGCCTTGTATCACATTCTTGCTCAGAGAGCTCAGACAGTCATAACATAAAATCTTCCCTGCTCAGGTTATGTTCATGACTTCCTCAGAAAAAAAAAAACCAAAGTCTGAAAAGGCAACCTCTTTAGCAAGTAAAATAATTAGCATTTTATTTAAAGAAAATGTATTATTACACCTAGATTTCTAACTTACCTTTTTTGAACCACTTACAGAACTCACAGTAATACAGCTTGTTTTCTCCCTATAAATTACATGGTAGACCAAATTTGGTCTATCACTCTTGGCAAAAGCCTAAGGGGCAGATCAAAATTTTTGTTTGATGAAGAAATAGAAATACTCATTTTCTTTTTGCACACTGAAATCTTGAGTTTTAAATTATAATAAATCCTTGACAAAAATCCAAAAATGTAATTACAGTTGGATTTGCAGCCTCTTAGCCTTATAACTTTTCTAGTGGAGAAAATCTTGTACATTAAATCTTGTACTGATTTAATGTAATGCACATTCAGCTCTATGAGACTCAGCTAGGGCAGAATATGAGGAACACAAGAGAATAATTTAAATATTTCCAATGATCTTGCCCCCTATTTCTCTCCCTGGGAGTTGTGAGGCTTCTCTTCCTGTGTTGATCCGAGTTTTTGAGCTTGTCATTATGTTCCAAGCTTCTTACCCACAGCTGGCTTCATGGGTGTGCAATTTGGGCAGTTGCATAAGGCCCTGCCCTTGGAAGAGCCATGTGCTTGGTTTAATACTTTGCTGCTGTTTTGTTGAGATTCTTAATACTGTGCTTTTTGACAGAGGGGCCTTGCATTTTCATTTTGCACTGAACCTGGCAAATTATGTAACTGGTCCCGATCTCCCCACACAGAATATGAGTTTGGTGCTTAAAGGTGCTTATTTTCTAGCCCCTAAGGGCCAATCAATTATTTCAACCAGTGCTCAGTTGAAGAAATTTATGTCTGTTTCAGTGCTGGAAGAAAAGAATCAAAAAGCCCAAACAAAAACAACAAAAATTTGGTGTATCCCAGGTCTTATGGCTCATTTAAAAATTTTCAAGAGCAATTTTGACTGCACTTTGACCTCATGCTCTTCCTTAAGAGCCTAACCTTTCATGTAAGATGTGACTTTATTGTAATTTAAAAAAAAATGGCCTGGGTGTGGTGGCTCATGTCTGTAATTCCAGCACTTTGAGAGGCTGAAGCAGGTGGATCACCTGAGGTCAGGAGTTCGAGACCAGCCTGACCAACATGATGAAGCCCCATCGCTACTAAATACAAAAAATTAGCTGGGCATGGTGGCACATTTAATCCCAGCTTCTTGGGAGGCTGAGGCAGGAGAATCACTTGAACCCAGGAGGGAGAGGTTGCAGTGAGCCGAGATTGTGCCACTGCACTCCAACCTAAGCAACAAGAGCTAAACACTTCGTCTCAAAAAAAAAAAAAAAAAAAAAAAAAAGGCCAGGTGTGGTGGGGTTCACACCTGTAATCCCAGCAGTTTGTGAGGCCAAGGCAGGCATATGACTTGAGGTCAGGAATTTCAGACCAGCCTGACAAACATGGTTAAACCCCGTCTCTACTAAAACTACAAAAAATTAGCTGGGCCTGGTGGCACACACCTGTAATCCCAGCTACTTGGGAGGCTGAGGCAGGAGAATCAATCACTTGAACTCAGGAGGTGGCAGTTGCAGTGAGCTGAGATTGTGCCCACTGCACTCTAGCCTGGGCAACAGAGTGAGACTTTGTCTCAAAAAAAAAAAAATTAAAAATTAAATTAGTTAAAAAAAATGCAACTTCTTTTTTCTCCCCTGCCCATCTTCAGGTGCTACAGAAAGAGCCAAAAATCAGTAAGAGGGAAAATACAATAGAAAGCAAAAAGAAAATGAATTTGGCTCATACATATACTAGAGAATTGGGTCCTGAATGTTCAAAAATTAACTGCATACTTCCTACTCAATTTTACTGTGAGCTCTAAAAGATAAGGTCTATTAAAAAAAATTAACCACACCTCTTAGGCAATTTTTTAAATTCTACGTCCTTTGATTTGGAAGATAAGGTAAATTTAGGTAATTGACCAGTTTTGATTATTAATTAATGCTTGAACAATTTTCCAAAGCACCAAAACCAGTTTTCTTTTGATTCCACTGAACTGAATTAGTATAAAATTGGCAATTATTTCTCATTTCAACTGCCTGTACCTTCACATTTAGGCACTGCCCAGTCCCTGACCCTGTCACATACTAAAAAAACAAATATTTCTAGTGCTCCCTACACCCCTCCGTGAGCCCCTTCCTCTTACCTGGGCACCACTGTTGTCTTCTGGGAAGCAGAAAGAGAGTGAGAGAACCAGCAGTGAGGACAACTCTGGGGCAGGGCAGGAAGTGGGAGGGGCCAAAGAGAGTTGAGGCTCAAAGGAGCACCTATGGGAGGCCAAAGAGGCGATGCCTCAGACTTCTGACCAAGCCAGTCACTTTCTTTAGCCCACTTCCAGGCCAGCAGGCAATCAATCATTTTCTAAATGATTGCTTTTCTAAAGTGTTCATGGATGAACATT